GAGGTTGCTAGGCAACTGCAACAATATTCCCATTCTTCAAACCTTGTTTTCTGTCAGTAAAAAACCGGGGGCATGGCCCTTTCCAGGGTTATTTTGGCTTTCTGGTTCATCCCTGATCCTCTTGCCTTGAAAGGAGGACTCTTTGGGGCAAGTCCCGGCAGCAACTACTGGCCAACTTTCTGCCATGCAACTTGTGCAACTCACCCAGGTGCCAGTGGCTACTGGAAAACTTGTCTGGGTCAAGCAGTCTCTGCACAATTTGTGCAATTTGGTCAGACCCAGCACTGCCCTCTACACAACTCACTTGAGCAACTTGCTGCCACAAGACATTTGCAACTTGGCCAAACTTTTTCTAGAGACAGGTTGGCAGGGGAAGGGAAGGCTGAGAGTCAGTGTGGTGTAGTGGTCAGAACAGAATACCAGACTAGGGTCTGGGAAACCCAGGGTCAAACCCCACTACCGTGGAAGGCTGTCGGGTGATGTTGGACCAGTTACTCTCAGTCTAATCTACCCCACAATGTTATTGTGATGAAATTGTAAGAAAGGAGTAAGATGGTGTCTGCATTTTGGAGAAAAATGGGGTATAAATTACATAAAAATAAAACTGAAGACTGGGGAGCACAGATAAAAGAAAAGTTGGTTAGGAAGTAGAGAAGGAAGCAGAGAAAGGAGATGGGGGCTGCTAGGAGAAGAGAAGGATGTGGAGAAGGGGATCTGAGGGAAATGAAGTGACTCCTTCAAGTCCTTGTGGTTTCTGTGCTTGGAATTTCTGTTTTGAAAACTTTTGATCAATATGTACAATAATACAGTTTGTTGTCTTCTCCATTCAAAAGGCAATTATACGATCTTTCACACAAGTCCCACTGAAGTCAGTGAGCAAGATTACTTGCTTTCTCACAATGTTGTGGTGGGAGTTTAGAATGCCAGTTTACACTTCAAATATTTGCCTATAAGTCTTGCAAATATTTGGGTCCGATTGTTGAAGTCAGCAGGCTGATATTTTGTCACTTAGTACATAACTTGACTTTTTTCCTTGTAAGAGAAATGTAGCACAGATACTTCAGCAGATGGAATTGAAAGGGTAAATATATCAGGTAGTTTTACCATATCAAAGGTGGTCACAAGCATGTAACAGAAGTCATACAGAGATGGAAAGACTGTTACCATAAAATCACACAATAGGAAAACTGTAGAGTGCACAAGAGTTTAATTTATCCAAATAAATAAATGATTAGAAACAGCACTGATTCATGGCTGTGATACTTCTCTAAGACTGCAATCTTATGCTTACTGGGGAATAAGCCTCATGGAGGATAATGGGTCTTATTTCTAGCAGATTGTGGACAGGATTGCACTTGTAAGTCTCCTTCATTTGAAAGTATAAGCTCACACAGTTAGTGTTTTACGTTTCAACCTCTTTTTAACAATGGCACCTTCTGCCAGACACCCATTATGAAAAACTTCTCCCATTTATCTCTTAAACTTTTTACACAAACATTTTCTTATATCTCCATGAGTTTATGGAGCAGCATGACAAACCAGCATTTTAACCCCATTATATCAGTCAGCAATGTGTGAAATTTAGAACATGTGTAGGTCTGATCACCCCTTTTTAATGAGGGATGTCTTTAGGAATGTAAGAGAGTAAGAACAGTACTACTAGATGGGTCCATCTAGATTTGGTTTTCAATTTCCCAATAATGCCCAGATGTTTGGGGGGAATCCAGAAGCAGAGTATCAAGGCCTTCCCTGCTGTTGTGTTCAGCAGTTGCACTCAGAGATCTGCTGCCAAGCATGGATATTTAACTTTAATGTCTTCCATAATTTATTTAGTGTACTTTTATCCTGCCCCTCTTCAATGGTCTCTTCAGGTTTTTTCCTCACAATAACCCTGTGAGGTAGGTTTATCTGACATTGAGTCACTGGCCCAAGACCACCCAGTAAGGGTTTCATGGAGAGCCAGGACTTGAAACTAGGTCTCCCAGCTTGTGATCCTGTCACAACATCAGGGTGCCCCCATGATCTCTACTTGCCAAGGTGATAGGAAATAAAAAGAATTAATTATGCCAAACTGGAAAAAATATCCATTTGGTAGCATAAATTTGTGGTACTGGAATAAAAGGACCCTGGGTTCTGGACAAGTAACTTACTCCAATAATTAAAACAGAATTTAGAAATTTATTTATAAAAGGTAAACATACATAAAAATATACACGTAGGGGAAAGGGGCATACAGTGAGACAAAGACAATAAACCTAACTAGTCTCTAGACACTGACCCTGAGCAGCTTACAGCTCCAAAGCAGATGTCTTGAGTAGCAGCAATGATACAAGAGTGGAAGTCCTGAAGAGTGTGAAGATCCTCCTTCCAGTTTCACATGCTCTTCCTGATGTGCTGTTTTCTTCAATATGGCATCACGTGTTATTCTTCTGTGTTGTTCTGGCTTCCTCACTCTTGCCCTGTATGCTAGCCCTTCTGTCACTTTGCTAATTGAGTGACCAATCAGAATGATCAATCAATTGATCTAACTGATCTGAACTGAATCTAGCTCAGCTGTCAAACTGACATTTGAGCTATAGATGGCTGTCAACCAATTACCTCGACAGTTCCCAGCTGCCATCCTGAAAGGCAACTACATACAGGTGCTTGTTAGATAAAGCACTACATGACTTAGATAACAATCCAGAAAGTACTTACAGAATGACAATTCAAAATAAATGCAAACACTTACATACTGGGGAACTCTCATGACAGATCCAGCACTCTAAACCAGAGGTGTTGAACTCATTTGTTATGAGGGCCAGATCTGACATAAATGTCACTTTGTTGAGCTGGGCCATGTGTGCCATAAAACGTATTGCCAGTTACTGGAGATATAAACTGTATAAAGGACAGCAGCTGGTAAGGTCTGAGTTGGTGTGTCCTCACTGCAAGGCCTCTTGGCCTGGGAGGGGGGTGCAAAAAAAAAAAACCATATGGGTGGACTGGAGACCCAGCAGTGCAGCACTGAGCAGATGCCCCCACACTGCTTGACTGCTGTAGATGAGGTTGTTCTGCCATGCTGAAGCCACAATTGGAGTGGCTCTACCCACTCCCCCCAAGCCAGTCTCCTGTTCCCTCCGTTGCTCTAGTTGCTTGCAGGCCACATAAAAGCCCTGTGCGGGCCTGTTCCGGCCCCTAGGCCTTATGTTTGACACCCCTGCTCTAAACACAATGCCATACTTGTTCAGAAGCAGGACCTTTATTCCAAAGCCTCAGAACAATCATAATAATCTCCAAGACAGGATACATAGCTGTTTCTTCATATATTTGTTCCAGCAGGGAAGAAAGATTTATTTCCTCTAAAAGGCATTTGACTACTGTGGTGGTTATGTGGTGGGAGATGCTTATTTGTCACACTAAGATTCTTCCCTGAGCCAACCCCAAGCCCTAATAAAAGCCTGGCTAAGCTGACACTCCTTTCCAGAGCCACAAAATCCCTGTCCGAAGGGGGGGGGGAAGTTTTTTCCACACCACTCAAGCACACAGGCTGGCTCACCACCTCCCTTCCAGTGGAGTTCCATGGGCTAACATTGGCTGCCAATCACTTGGATTTGCATGAGACCTAAATCACAAGGATTGGTTCAGAACCCTGGAGGAGAGGCTGGCCTTTTAAGGATGATTGACACAGCTATTGATCTTAGAAACAGTGGGCTTTCACTGTTAAACATGTTAACACAAACTACAGATTTGTGTTAATTCAGCAGTCATTTTATTAAAGTTGCTCTTTCAGTTTCATGTAAACTGATTCCAGCTGTGGAGATTTTCATAAGTATAAGCAATGGTGCACAAGCATCTTAAATACTACACAGAAGGGGTGTGCACTTCAAAAAATTTTGTTTTCATGTAGTTTAAGGATTTTAGAAAGGGCATGATTTTTCAGGAGTGTCAATACTGTTGTGGAAATATGCTGGGACCATTCTTCAGGTTCAGGAGTATCAGCACTTTAAAATCATGCACTTAAAAACAAACACTGTAAATTTTGGTGCACAGAATTGCCCCTTTCTCAAGGCACCAGGAGTGGTATGGGAGGAGGGAGAGATGGAGCATGTGCACCTCTGCTGGTTGTGGTACTGATGCTGACGTCGACCTGTAAACTTTAGATTCCTAGGTGGTAGATTTGACCTCTGAGTCTGAATGTCAATTCTGCCACTCTTTGGAATCAACAAATGGTAGACTTGGAGGCTAGATCTACCACCCATTAACAGTAGATGTTTGAAGTGATGTGGCACAAAAGCTTGTTTTTAATACTGTGATGTGGTTTTAATTGTAAGCTGTCTCAAGCAGAACTCTGAAGAGGCAGCCTAGAAATATAAATAAAAGCCATGGCGGTGGCAGCTAGCCTAGCTGTCTCCCTCAAAGGCAGAAGGAGCTGGGAGGGAGGGAGTGTGTACGCCGTAGCTCGGCTGTGGCATCAGTGTCACTGTGGCTCTTTAAGCATCCCTTTAGACTTCCACTGTTGTCATTGGGTAATAGATTGTCTATCCCTGTTGAGTTCAATGCTCCGTAGGCCTGGTGTCCACACTCAGCCTGGTCTGCTGCCCAGGAACTCTTCAAATGGTGTTTTAAGGGCTACAGCAGCATCAGTGTCATGTTCTCTCTTCCTCCCTCTTCCCAGAGTGCTCTGCCCTTTGCTGTATTCCCTAAACCCATACAGTCTTCCTCTTCGGGAGAGAAAAAAAAATAGTTTCCCCCTAATTTTGAGAACGCTTTTTGTTTGGGGTATATTTTCAGGCTATTTTGGTTTTCAGTTTGTGAATATCCAAATGTACACTCTTACTACATAACACATTTGCTATGAAAACTGAGATTTCTGCTTTTTGGTTAGTGCACGGCTGGGTGTGCCTTCGAGAGGTGTTTAAGTATCCACAGATGAGACCATGTTATAAACTAGTTATATTGAGGCAGAACTTTCTTTGTTTCCAATGGCAACTCTTATTCCTTAATGAAATTAATGATAGTTTTGGTCGACCAGGAGTTGAATGCTACTGCCAGCATGACAGTGGAGCAGCTGTTATCCAACTTCAGTTCCTGATAAACGAGGTTAGTGAGCTCGTTGCACACAGTGCTGTTTTGTCCAAATTTGTCAACTTTGCATTTTGAGTTAATGTATTTAAAACTTAGGAAGACAACTTATTTAGTGCAATTGGCTACACTTGAAATGTGTATTAAGCTTAGTGGCCCAAGTACTTTGCAAAATACTGACATTTGGGGAGGGGGGTGTCTCCAGATAGAAAACATTGGTAACCAATTGAGTTGTAGGGTACTTTTTTTTTTATAAATTATGGACCTATTGTGCTATGTCCTAGTATTGGTATGTGGATTGTCAATAGGATCTAGTTGTCATGACAGAAAAGGATAATTGATATATTATCGTTATTTCTAGTTTAATAACAATAAAATATTGCTTGTTTGAGAGATAAAACTGAGTCAATATTAAATTCTCTTGCATACCTTTCTGTTCTTGTAAGGGAGCCCTTGTGAGTGCCTTGGCTGATGATACCGTACACTTATGGAACTTGCGTCAGAAGAGGCCTGCTATACTGCATTCCCTAAAATTCAACAGAGAACGGTAAGAATTGGAGATTCATTGTTTCATCTTAAACAGTGTTATTTATTTATTTAATACCCTACCCCAAAAATGGGCTCAGGGCAGCTTACAACATAAGGTGTTGCACAAGAAGTGCTTGTTCTGATGAAGAGGTATAAAACAAACTTTCCATGAGCAGAAAATACTTTGATCACGTACCTTCCTAGCTGCTACTTATAGTTGTGCACTGCACACATTGTGTGCAGACACAGAAAAATGTAGAATGTGGTGTAAAGACTAGATAATCACTAGAAGAGAACTGGTGACTTCTTAGTCAAATGCAGCCTGCGGCTGAGTATTGGTGCCCATCAGGGTTCACTAACTTTTTTGTCCATTTCCACTTGTTTGCTGCAAAAACAGAGAAGTCAAATGCCTTACTGGCTGAAATATATGGCTGGTCAGTTGAATGTAGCTTCTTGGAAAGTCACAAGTTGTGCAGGCCAGTTTCTAGCTCTTTAGATTCTAAGTAGAATGTTTTATGTTATGCTGAATCCTGTTAAATCAGATTTCACAATCATATCTAGGTTATCTCCTTTACTGCCTCCTGTTCTTGGAAGGGGCCATGGTTCAGTGGTAGAGCATCTGCTAGGAATGCAGAATGTCCTAGGTTAAAACCCCTGCATCTCCAGCTAAGAGGATCAGTTACAGGTGATGTGGAAGACCTTTACCTGAGACCCGTGAGAGCCACTACCAGTCTGAGTAGGCAATACTGACTTTGATGGACTGATTGTCTGATTCAGTCTAAGGCAGTTTCGTGTGTTCTCCAGTCTGTTCATTGGAGCTAAACCTGATTTATGGGACTTAAGATAAGGTGTCTGATTAAGTATACCGGAGACATTAGGAAGGTGGAATTTTAAACGGTGTATCATCATAGGTGGGCTAACATTTGATTTACTTGTGGTACATGGACTTTTTTCATAAAAAGTTTTCTCCAGGATGCAGTTGATTTATGTTTAGATTGAAATAAGAATTTTGTTGACAACCTAACAATAGAAGATTCTTCAAGCAGTTTGCTATAGTTTGAGATTAAGATGATTTGGCCATGATTGAAACTAGTATCTGGAATATCTAGTGCTGAAATTGTTTTGTTAAACCTATGTATTATGTGGCAAATTTACAATTAATAATGTGAGAACACACAGTATGATTGGGTACAATAAGCAACTTCAGCAACACAGAGGTCTAGTAAAATGAACTGTTAAAAATCTAAGAATGTCATCCTTGTCAAACAGAACATGGAGCTTTATTACTAGATTAGAACAGTGTGATAATCCCTTTATTCTGAGTGTTCAAATGTTTATTTTGAGTGTTCAAATAGATAGTATATATACGGTAGCTTCATTTTTTTTTTTTTGCTGAAGCTTGAAAATATTTTTAAACTTGTTGCCTCTGAATTTTTCACTGTCCGTCATGAATTCACAAAATTCAGTAACTTTTAATATTCTACTGCGTGGCTGCCAATAGGAGATAAGATATATTGCGATTTCATGTGATGTTTGTGTTGGGTCTGGTAGGTGTGAGGAGGTGCCCAGAGGGGACTGTTGTTTTGGGGATCCATGGTGATTCCTAGCCCTGATCTTTCGTAAAGGAAAGTGGAGACACTGGTATGAAAAAGTAGTGAAAGAAAAATTATGATGACCTAGTTTGTAGTATCTGGCATTAACATGCAAAGTGTTCATAAAGGCACATGATCATGCATTCTCTTCACTTTGCAGTAGGTGTTTCCATAAGTTACTGGAATAATGACTTAATGTTAAATTTAAGACATGAAGTACAGGATCTTTTCTATATGCAAGCTTGTTAAAGAAAAAAATTGAGACTAAATATGTTCAAACTTGTTCTTTCCACGAAATATCAAGTTTTGAGTTAATGAAGCTCTCGTGTGCCTTGTGTTTAAGCAGGTGAGCTGAGTTCAGACTAAATGATGGTTTTCACTAATAGCTGGAACTTCCACAGGTCATGCAAACTGCATTCTAGTTGCTTTTGTGTATTTCATTTACCATCTGCTCAGCATTCCTGTTTCTTCCAAAAATGAAGCAGTGTCTGTAGTTATGGTTTGTCAATTCAGACATCATGCCAAACCACAGTTATGGTTAAGAAATTTGGTAAGATGTTTGCTTTATTGAAATATGTTTCTTGTTTAATGTGACTGCATTAGTTAATAACTTAGTTTCAGATATTCACTAAACTGTTGCGTAAGATGCAGTTTTACACACATTTACTTCCAAAACTGCTTCAAAGGCCTTGTTGATAGAAGAGGGGTGATTTTGTCTGATTTCCTCTTTCTCACTGTAGACCTAGGATCTTAATGGCTTCATGTACTCATGAGTCCTATGTTCAGCTATTTATGGTCAGAAGGAGCTTCTGGGGTGTGTGTGGAAATGCAGGGAAGATCTGCATTGAGTAAGCTGATGGGATTCACCATGTTGCAATGCAAGCTTGACTATCTAAAAGGTAGTCTGTATTACCTTCATCTGGTTTAAGTCTGAAGGACATGACCATTTCAAATTGTAACTGGCAACAAAATAAAACAGGCTCAAGGGTTTTAGTCCAAACAGAAAATCCAGAGGTAATATCAACCAGTTGGCCAGGAGTGTAAAGAGCCCGAGCAGCCTTCACAACAGTTCTGATGTTATAGTTCTGTTGATACTACGTTATATGAACTGGCTTGTCTCACAGAGACGAAAAATGTAAAAGTACTCGCCTGTCAGGTAGATGTGTTCCTGGCCTCTGTGTAAAGCTTCAGAAGAAAGTTGTTCAGGGTGGTGAGAACCAGGGAGGGCTGTGAAGTGCTCCAGAGAGAGCTGGGCGAGTGGGCATCAATGAGGCAAAGGATGTTCAACACGGGCAAGTGCAAAGTAATGCACATTGGAGCCAAAAATCCTAACTATAAATACATGTTGATGGGGTCTGAACTGGTGGTAACTGACCAGGGGAGAGATCTTGGGAGTCCTGATAGATAACTCACTGAAGATGTCGACTCAGTATGCAACTGCAATAAAAAAAGGCAAATGCTATGCTGGAGATTATTGGGAAGGGGATTGAAAATAAATCAGCCAGTATCATAATGCCCCTGTATAAATCTATGGCATGGCCTCATTTGGAATACTGTGTGTCAGGGGTCATTTCGTAGAAAAAGCGGTGCAGGAGCTCATTAGCATAACACATTAGCATAACTTGTTTGCATATGCCACACCCCCTGACATCACCGGAAGCTACTTTACAACAAGTATGAAAATACAGATCAAGTTAGTATTGCTATTTATTTTTGTGATAGTTGCTATCCAAAGCTTCCTGAGTTCAGCTTTTTAAAGTCCAGTTTCCTTAGAAGGGCAAATTAGCAAAAACCTTTGCTATATATGAGTGGGGTTGGTTTGTTTTGTAAAAGGAAGTTATGTTCTTAACACACCAATGTACCTGTATAGTTACATGAAAAATAAATTATTGCAAAGAACCTGTTCAAATTAATGGTCTACTTGTATGAACAGTGTGACATTAGAGAATGGGACTTTTGCAAGATCGCAGCTTTTTTTATATGCTCAGCAAAAACTTTTAATAATGGAAGAAAAGCCACAATCTCATGCAAGTTTCTCTTTCAGTCACTTGCAAACACTCCAGCAAGTGGTACACATTCTGCATGTTCCATGTTTCACAGGGCTAGCAGATCTACTATCTGGAAAAGACATCCTCCCTTCTCAAGAAAATTATGAATAACTTGACCCCTTGAGAGAGAGGCTTGCCTAAAACAGACTTACACACATGACACATATAATAACATTAAATACCAAGTTGCCTTCTTCAAGTGAATACAAGCTAAGCTTTGCCTGTTGCTGTGAGCAAGACAATTTCCCAAGGCTTTGTTTCACAACTTTTTCACAACTGCATAAATTAGTTTGCTCTGGAGCCATCCTTCCTGAGCTAAGACAAAAATGTGTGAGCCAGAGGCTAAAAACTGTGAGCTAGCTCACACTCTCAGCTTAAAGGGAACACTGGTGACATGATAGAAATTTACAAAATTATGCATGGGATAGAGAAGGTAAAGAAAGAGGTACTTTTCTCCCTTTCTCAGAATACAAGAACTCATGGGCACTCAATGAAATTAATGAGCAGTAGGCTTAGAGCAGATAAAAGGAAGTACCTCTTCACCCTAAGAGAAATTAACTTGTGGAATTCACTGCCACAGGAAGTGGTAGCAGCTACAAGCATAGACATCTTCAAAATGGGATTGGATAAATTTATGAAACAGAGGTCCATAAATGGCTATTAGCCGCAAGATATAGATGGAACACTATGTCGGCTTCCGGTCTGGCTCCCGCGAATGGCGGACGCATCCTCGGGTCGCTCCCAAGTTCATCTCACCCGCCCGCGGTGGAGGAGGGAATCCGCGCGAGCGGAGACCCGAACGAGCCCCTCAGGAATGGAGGAGCTTGGATCCGGGGCGCTTTAGGGCGCACTGGGGGGGGAGTCTCTCTTTCGGCCGAGAGGTCGGAGACTGAGGCTCCCGCCATGCCCTGCCCCAATGGACCTTGCTGCGTGAGCG